CCCAGAGAAGCTGTGGATGCCCCATCCCCGGAGGGGTTCAAGGCCAGGAATAAAGTGTTTCTGTGGAAAAACAGCTTGAGAGCAATAGCTAAAAACTTTGTCTTACTGCTTTCTGCACTGCATTGATTCTTCTCTGCAGAGGAAGGTAGGTATCAAGTCACAGCAGTTTTGTGCATGTGTATGCCTACAATTTCATGGTTAACAGATGACGTTCAGAAAGACACTAGCATTCTTCAAGATCAGATGCACAAAACTGACTATCCTGAAAAAATTTGAAACTATACTTTCTAGTGCTTGCTAGCAGCAAATATAGCGGCAAATTCTGAATAAGAATGGCAGATAGATAATAGTGCTGCACTATCCTCAAAACTTGAATGCTCCTGCTTCTTTCAAGCAGGGTAAGTGCTAATATCAAATTAATTACATGATTTATGTCTGTCAGGTTGACAGTATACATGTCAACGCTATTGTGCATACTAATAGTATATAGCTATCCTACTAATGTAAGATGATCAAGAGCTAAAAAGAACTGCAGTTGCAAATTATCTCAGGATTATTCAGCTCGAACATGTTTTACTTTAGAGGGCTTTTTGGTATTTATTACAGAGCATATAAAAGTAATCCAATTGTAGTAAAGATTCATAAACTAACTGAAGGTTTCAAATGGCATAATTGCTTTAAATCACTTCAAAAATGATTTTTCTTTTCCAGAATCCTACTTGGAACATGAAATGTTACTCCAACATGGATAAGGTATCTATTTATAACCGAATGTTTGCGTGTAATGGTCAAACGCAAAAAAGAGGAACTGAATGTTTATTTCAGTCTTGATTTTCATCCAACACTTTGTGTAATTTATCCTGAAATTCTAATTATATCCCACTATATAAGCACTGCAAATATGAAAACTGAGAGAAAATCTATTTTGCTAGAGCTTTTTTCCTCTTCTTTTTCCAAAGTAAAGAGATGCTTGCGGTCAAATTACTTAATGAAAAGAATTCAGCGTGTCAGCAATCATCCCAACAAAGAAAACATGTCCATTTACAGTATTGTTTAACTATTTCTATAGTTGGTGACCACATTAAATGGGTATTTAAATGAGAACATGCCAGATGAATAATAACAACCTCCATGGGTGCCAAACATTAGCTATTTCTACAAAATTAGCTAAACGCATGCAAAAGCAAAGTGCAAAATTACACACACCTACTATAACTACTGGCCTCCCAGGCAACAAGCATAGTCTGTAGCTGATGTGATTTTGTTTAAGAAAGCAATGTCAATAAAATACACCAGGAGTTATTACCAGCCCATTATGTCATCATCCAAGCTTATATTGAACCACAGCCACATATATGTGTTATAGCTCAGGAACTGTAACACAGCAGGGGGATGAAAATGGGTATCTATTCATGAAAGAAATCTGCAGTTTATGCTGAAGTACATGAAAAATAATGTTAGCTGGACAAAAACCATAACAACCAGAAGCTGTGCAGTTCAACAGCCTTTTAGCATTTGGAAGAATAAAATTGAATAAAAGTTAATTTTAAGAAGTCAGCCACTGCAGACCTCAAAGGATGGCGCCTGGGATTTTGCATTCTTTGATTCTTCTGGTTGCCAGTAATGGTCCAGACTGGAGGCCTCTGAGAAAGGAGCGACAATGTTTTTAATGAACAGCAGTTGGCTCAAAGTTCTTGGCCTAAGTTCTAAAACATGAGGCTTCCATCTCCCACAATCCTTTCCTATTATCTATTTTAATGATGGATAACTTCATCATCCCTATTTAAAAAAACTCTATTTACAACCCTGATTTAAAACGGGCTCAGCGATAGTTTGCCATGGGGAATTCCACTGGCTAAATACAGATGCGACAAAGAAACACGCATGTCATAAACACGATCACATAAGTTTGCAAACTTATTGGCACCCCCAGCGTTCCACACTAAGTTGTTTATGTCATCCCAGACCACCACTTTTGCATTTTCTTTGCAAAATAACAGGATTCTTTGTATACAAGCTATTAAAATCACATACATTATTTTTTTCACCTTATGGTTGTGTTTTAATATGTATTTTTATATAGACTGAATGCAACCAAATAGTAGGCCAACTTGTCACAAAAAACACAAAAGAAGCTCTTACATCTATCAATTCCAACAGCCACAGATGACACAGAAATGGTCCACAGTCCAGGAAATACCAGAAGAAAAACCTATCTACAAATGTATGGGGGGGGCGGGGGGGGTGGGAAATAAAATTCCTAGAGGGAGCAAGTTCCACAGCTGGAGTATCTCAAATAACCATCCACCATTCAACTCACCATTTTCTCCCCACATTTACACCCACAGCTCCTCTCCACATGCCTGCACCAAAACACCCTGGCTGTCTTGAAAAGATTCTGATAAAAGTCAGATGTTCCTCAGTGGAGTAGTTACTGTGTGGCTTTTTTTTTTTTTTTTTAAATCAGTAAACTACAAGTTAATTTTAGACTTGTTCATGTTTATTTCATAGGTGAGAAAACTTACCCATTTCCTCCATGTGTAACATTTCCCATCATACCAGAGCCACAACCTGTTTCCCCAGCTTAGCTGCTGTTCTCTAACTCACACAAGTCCATAGGAGCAGACAGGACACATCCGAGAGTACTGGGAGAGCCGTCTGGCATTACAGGAGGCTGCTCTTTATTGTCTTTGAAAGGTTGTGAAGGCTGGGGAGGTTCCCCAATGATTTCAGAAAGGTAAATCTTACAGGAAGAAGGACAACATAGGGAACCTCCCTTCCATCCCTGGGAAAATCACAGAGCGAGGCCGCTTGGAAGCCCTCCAACCCAAAACGTCTATGATTTCATCTAACTTTGTTGCCTCCTAAAGAAACAGGTATCACCTCCCCATGAAAGCTCTAAAACTGAAAAAAATTCTCTCTCCTTTTTCTTACCTGCAACATCATTTTAGGAACATCTGTTCTGGCATATCAATCCCTCATCATTCCAAAATGATCATCTGTAACTGGAGTCGTGCCAAGGCCTTTGACATGCTACTGCTTAGAGGCGAACAAAACTACACAAATCCGAAGAAAAAACACTAAAACTGAGAAACACATCAAAAGTTTGGCATCAAGACAACACTAGAGATAAAGGAAAGCTAACTTTTCAGTTTTCTGTTCCATAGCACAGATGACTTTACTCTTGTACTGTTCAATATATCTTCAATATGCATTTTCCTCTTTATTTCTTTCATACAATGGAGCTGATTTTCCTTTGTCTCTTGCATCCATAACTGGATAATTGCATTTCTCTTGAGTATAACTTAGAATTATATTGCTACAATTGAAGGTGTTTGAGCTACAACACCGTTGTAAGTGGTAACAGTTCAAAGTACAGTAACTTACTCTATCTTCATAAATTCAAAAATACATTCCTTCTAAAAACCTCCTACTATAACCTCCTAACCAAAATGTTAAATGAAATGTTACAACACTAAATGCAGCAAAAGCAACCAAATACTAATAAAAATGCTAAAAATTACAACAAGGATATTAGAGTAAATGGCACATTAACTACACTGGCATATGATTTTAAATTGACACTTTAACACTCAAAGCTGTTAACAATTAAAAATATGCATGGAATGCTGTTCAACGCACCCAAAGTAACGATGTGGGTTGGAAAACTAGCACTGGGAGAGGGGAAGGCAAGAAAATGGGAAGCTATAATAGCACACTAATAGAAAGATAAAATAACAATTACTTAGGACTGACATAAGTATAAGAATTTTAATGTGGACTAATGTTTTTCATGGATTAAAGTGCACAAAAATATTAAAAACAGTTTCTGAAATTAGACTTCGGCTTTGGCATATGAAGTGAACACAGCTAAGAAGCACAAATGCCTTTTTCTGTATGCTGTATCTATTTCTAATCCTTTTGCAACTAGCAAGTGTTAGTTTATCCAAATATTATTATTACAGATACAACATAATTATTGCCATTATTTCAGTTCTCACATATGTAAGATTCTCCTGACTCCACATATAACGTGGATAATGTTCCGACTTGACACACTGCTATCTTAAAAACTGAGTTCCCTTTGGGTAAGTATGAGAGAAAATGCTGGAGCAATTGGTATTGCCACGTATTTTCTATATATTCTTCCAAACTCCAGCTACTCCTGTAACAATAAAAAGTTGCAGAAAAAGTACTCTGTCATTATCTACTGAAGAACTCAGGCTAGAAGTATGAATTCATACCTACTTGCTCACCTTTGTGCTTTCAAATAAGTGTGCAGCTTTCTTCAGTCTTCACATTAAAAAACCCCAAGTATTTAGATCTTTTAGAGATATACCTTTCATGAAGAATAAAATATTTCAGGATCCTTTTTTTGCCTCCAATACCTATTACTGTTTGTAATTCTGTTCGCCACATGTGCTGAATGTGTGTTCACACTGACCAAACTTCAGATTCAAATTAATCCATGGCTTAATTAACAAATGTATCAAACTCATAAACATACATGAAAAATCACCTTAGGAGCTGTTCTCCATTGTGTTAGTCTCAACAAATGATTTTAAATTAGGGTAGAAACTGCCTACTAATCAGACCAGAGAAGAACATTTATTTTCATTTTACAGCAACATGGCTGTGGCTGATTTTTTGAAACAGTTCCACAACTGCAACTTTGTTCAAATTTTAAACTGAATATAAAAATCAATGAAGATTATGTATATAGACACATGAATGGTCCTTAAAAATTTCTTCTGACAGCAAGTTTCTTAAGAATGGGATGCAATACACTTCACTTAGCAGAGGTGGCAGTGATGTATCCATTCACTAGCTCCCATTATCTGGTCAATGGATAATTGGGGGTTTGCTTTCTTTAACTAAACACATTTTCAAATGCCTGGTTGCAGAATTCTTGTGTAATCTTTAAAAATAATTTTTAAGATTTTTTTTAAAAGATTGCTAAGTTAGAATACATTTTTCCATAAGCAGAATAATGCCCGAAGTATTCTGATGAACTTTTATTTAAAATCATCTTCCTCCAGTAGTATGGAATTCTTTAGCAAAGTCAAGACACCACCTGTTGCACAGCCTTCTTCACTAACACCAGAAATTCGATTTTTTCTGTTCTTGCAGAGATCTGCACTACCGGCTGATAAGTGTTCTGCTTACTAACACAAATGCAGTTTTGACCATGAATGCAATTCTGAAGCAGCCAAGACAGCTTTACTAAAAAGTAAATCACCTTCCCCTTCAATAAGACCAACTTTTTTCTAAACCTTTACAGATGGATATGATTCTATGCACAGTCGCTAGATCGAGAAATTTCTCAGGAAGTAAAGTTGCTTAATGACACATAACAAGTACAATTTGTGATGCTCTTCATGCAGTTCACTTTCTAAGACTTTTTGTGCTGCTTCCTCTTCTGAACGCAATGGGTTCAAGATGCATGATGTCTGGTTCCCAGCTACGCTTGTATCTGCTGGATGTCATTATGCACTGAAGATTTATGTCCAACTTCAAATCAAATGCAAGTTTCACACTCTAAGTAGGGATGCCCACAAACATATTGTTCTTTGGAGAACAACTCTCCGGCTCCATAGATATAACTTGGACAGAGTACTTGTGTTCTTCTGAAGCCCATGCCCGATCCAGATCCACAAGCCCCATACACTGCTTTCCTAAAGCAAGAGCAAAGGAGAGCAGGGAAACTCTAAAAATGTAGGAACATTATCAGAAACATGCACTTCAATATTCAATGTTAGGAAAACACATCAGTAAGTCATCTAAAAAAGAAGTTGCAAATCTACTTTAAAAAAAAAAATCTTAATCTCTTCTAGTTTATAGCTTCCATCAGAACATTAATACTAGACAGGAGCGTGTTATACCCTTTTGTAAGTCAAAGAATACTAGAATATTGCACACAATGAAGAAGCGGTTTTGCTTATTCCAAATATTTGAAGTGTTATATATTTGGCTGTCCTTTTGAGTAATGAAATTCCTGCTATCTTAATGATAGCTTCTTGCATTTCTTTTCCTCAGAAATCATTGACACCTGACCAAAAAAAAAAAAAATTTCAGGGATCAACTTACTTTGGCCATTAATTGCACAGCAATGACGCAACAGAAGGCAGCTGCTCTTACTCAGCATGGCAATAAAGTACAAACCTGAAACAGAACTGACTACCGAAAGGTGGTAATTGAGTCATTCACGGCTGTAGCCGTAACACAAGTCTCCCCACAATGGCAAGGCTGGTACCTCAGGTAAGGGGGTAAACCAAACTGTGTTCTTGGCAGTGTCTTCAAATTATAAATATTGAAAAAAAAAAAAAAAATCACACAAAACCTTCTGAGTTTTTATTCTAAAATTATTATGATGATCCTAATAATGAGGTGGGCTAAACAGGTTTGTATGTTCATAAGCCTGCCTGTACCAAAGCTAGCCCAACCTCTACAATTCAGCTTTATTGTTTCCAGCTGGCATTAGATGTTTGCCTAAGAGAGCTATCAGCAGCAATTACAAGCAGGACAAAGGGTGCACACTGAAAATCACTACTACGAATAGCCTGAGCTTTTAATGTAAGCTAAACTGGCAATAGCAGGACTTCAGTGAACTTTACAAAGACCTCATTCTTTTCAGAGAATGGCAAGAAGAAAAAAAAAGGTGAAGCAACAAAAATAAAAAAAATGCAAACCTTCTCTCTCATACTGATAATTCGGAAAGAAGAAAAGAGTTTCTATACTATAGCTCAGAACAGCAAGAGGAAAAAAGAACACAAATTTTTCAACCGTTATATGAAGACAGCAACTTAATGCCCTGTTCATTAATGTACTACTTCTTTCTTTACAAAGCAAGGTAAATACATCACTAAGATAGCTGACACAACAGCTGCAGAAATTCATACCTATTAGCCGGCGTTCAGGTGGAAGCTGAACAGCTGTCTGATCTGCAAATCTGCAAAGGATCATGTGCTCCTAGAAAAAAAAAGGTAAAGAAATTCGGTCCAGTAGCATTTCCTTTTTCCAAACAAAGTAAGAAAAATCTAATTAAATGTTTTAAAGTATCAAAAACACTGTTAATGTTGAAGACTATGTTTCTAGAAAAATTATATGTGTGCAAATTGTAATTTTGATACTGCTTCGGCTTGTAAATATGTGTGTAAATCAAGTGTTTATAATCACAACCACATTTTTCCTCATGAGTATTTGTTTCTTGCTAAGATTTCTCTAATTCTCTGCAGCAGTTGAATTGGATGCAATGTATACAAGATAGCATTCTTCAAAGACACACTGCGGACTAATTTTGCCTTCAATTACTGATGAGCAACACAGCCTTCTTTTAGCATAGTCATCATGGGGAAGAGCCTCTGCATTAACAAGCAGCCAAGCAAAATTCTTAAATAGGTGATTTGAACTGTTGCACATTTCTCCCAAGCAGTGATTTCGAATCCCAGAAGAATCACCTTGTGGGTCAAACTTCCTCTGCTCTGCCAAATCCATTCAGGATCAATCCAAAAGATCCTGAAGGGAAAATTGATCCTGAAGGCAAAAAAAATCCCTGGCTGTAAATGGGAAAGTTACCTACCTCAAAATTTACTTTCAAACTATCCCTGTTCCACTTGAAGTTTCTACAACTCGAGGCTTCTACAACAGCTGCTGTTGATTTCTCCCTGTCTTGTCACCCAGGGATATGGTGCAGTGGAGAGGCAACCCCACTGCCTTACCCCCTGCTTAGATCACTACACAAGCAGGAAGAACACCATCCTCATTTGCCTTCAGAAAACACCGCCTATGCGAGCACCATGGTTTCTCAAAGAGCAGCCAAGCCAAGGAAGGAAAGTTAGCCAGATGATGAGAGAGAAAGCCTTGAAGGTGTAGCAATGAAATTAATGCTCTAATGACAGCTGTGCTCTTTAGGACAGCTGCAATATTAAGGACAGAGTAAATCAGAACCATTTCAGAACTGTGCAATATGCCCAAGTTTCCTATAATGTCATGGGGAGAAAGCAGAAATGGACAACAACCAAAAGTGCTCTAGTTAGCAAAGCTTCCAGAACTATAGTTCTGAAAAAAGGACACGTGTCCTCCATCAAAAAGAAAACTTTTTTGTTATTATTATTGCCTGATTTAAAATGATGGTTTTAAAGGTTTGGTTCCTGCAACAGACGGAGAGAGCAACATTAGCTAAGGATACTTACTCCAGCTTTTTATTAGGGGGACATAAATATACAGAAGTCTTAACAAAAAACTTGAATTAAAAACCCATCCTCATATTAAATCTAGATGGTAACTCCCTCCACAGTGTGCTCCATCCAATTCCTAAATGTAACAGACACCTGACCACAAAAAAATTTGCCCACATACTAAAAAAAAAAAATAAATATATATATACACTATAAAAATACTCAAATATTACTTATTTACATAAATTTACAGTGTATTGAGGCAGGGAGATCTGTTCCCTTGTCCAGCTCACTCACATGAAGGCTTTCAGCTCACAGCTCCATAAGAAATATGCAAGCAAAACGAGAACATGTTGTAACATGTTCAGGACTTAAAACATGTTATGCCCAGTCAGTTCAGTTCAAATATGGTTATTTTTGTAGTAGAAAAGAGCTGAAAACATTAAACCCAGATGTGACTACTGGAGAATGGAGGAGAAGGACAGCCACAGGCAACGTGGCTGCTGTTAGGAGAGAAGCAGCAATGATAGGCAGTTTGGGGAGAAAAAGAGGGATTCAGAGGACAGGGACAAGATCCCTGTTAGCACAGAACCCCTCACCAGCCTGCAGGCACCCAACACAACCCAGCTCTTCACAACACCAGGCTCTCTGGACTGGTGGACTGATTCTAATGCCTTGGCTTCCTACAGAGATGATCCAAAAAGTTAAACTAGAGCCAAAGTCACTAAATTGTCACGTTCCCTGTTGTCAGAAAAAAGAAGAAATAATGAAGATAATTATAAACTGCCCAAACTTTGTGCGTGCATAAACAGTTAACTTGCTTACTAGAACACCCACACCTTCAAGTCCTATTAAGTTTTCAAAGCTGTATGTGCAAAGTTCAGTTTTACTTTCCAATTCTCCTATACGGAGAGTGCCTTGGCAAGTAGAGTCTCTAAATGTATCATGGTAGAAGTCCACAGCTATCATAACCTTACTCTTTGCAGCTATAAACTAATGAATTACAGCATAATGTTCTCATCAAAAAAGATTTGGAATTGCCAGACTTCTGGATGTCTTTTTAGATCTCACTAAAATGAAAGATAAGAGAAATGAATTTAAAATGGGAGCTGGAGGGGGGGGTGACACATATGTCTGGCTAACACATGGCAGCCTTGGCTATTAGCCAATGACCTGTAACAATTTATTAATATGAAATATAAAAATGAATATAGCTAGCTGTATAGCAAAAGTTATTTATAACTAGGATTATCTGAGGCACCAACCAGCCTAGACCGTTTGTATAGACTCTTACATTATTAAGAGCAGGTGGTTTTTAGCATTGTCCTTGGCCCCTATGCCCTTATGCAACACAAATAATAAAATGCTGGAACCTCTTTAGGGTTGATAAACCCTGTGATTTAAACATCCATGGATTAACAAATTAAGAGAAAAACTCACTGAGTTTTAATGAGATTACACACACTATCCTAATCTAAGCATCCTTGACTTTATAACTGTCACCATGTCCCTCTGGACTGTCAACAGGTCTGCATTTAATAATATATTGGTAAATAAACTTCTGAACTGAAAAATGAGTTCTCCATGCTTATGTATTAGAAACACATAAATGTGTTGAGAAGAATGTTAATCAACTGAAAATATAATGGCAGGTCCAAATCCACTGTGCTGCTTTTACCATCTCAATCTATGGACATTTATTTCCACCTAAATTAGTAAAGTGTACATAAACCAGACTTCCACGAAGATAAGATTAGTGTATTACCAAACAACTGAACTTCCCATATAAAATGGCTGGAAATTTTCTGAATATTTAAATGCCCTCTTTCTTGAGGATTAAAAAGGATGATCTCCATTTTCCTGTGACATACAGCATCTGTGCTAAGTTCACTGTCCCAGAAAACATTTGGATATTAGAAATATTGTCGCTCTCATATTTCTGCATCTCCAAAATGCATTTTCTCTATGGTAAACCCCAAAACCCCTGTCTAGGATTTGACATGTAAACTTAGCAGAGTTTAAATATGATCTTGCCTATCTCAAATGGAAACATCTAACCTTCACATTTCTGGTTGCTCATCACTAGCTAGTTTAAACTCACTAGAGAAAGCTTAACAGATCAGTACCAGTTATCTGCTGTACCCATCTCTGCTCTTGTTCTTTTTCACTCCCCTGTTATCTTCATTCTGTCAGATCTGTATGCCTCATTGATTCTTTCTCCCACTTTTCTCTCAGACTATCTCCACAAAGACCCTATCTCCCCCAGAGTCAAACCACCTTTGAATATTGTTGACATCATTTTGAGTTTAAAAACAATTCTATATAAAATTCTTGCTGATGAGTATAACCTCTTCCTACTCAATATGTCCAATCTTCTAGACATAAATTAGAGGGAGAAATCTAAGGTTCATCAGAAAATATCTGTAAAAGCAATAATTTTACCTAAAAAATAAACAAGACATTTCCACAATATAAACAGTGGCATTTAAGACCTACATAAATCAGTATTCTGTAATTGTTATACTGATACATGCTGAAGTATTTTAGGAATGGCTCGCTTACACATTATGATTTAAAAAAAAAAAGTTATTTTGCAAATAAACTATTTAATTTTATTGAAGAAAAAAAGCCTTAAAAGTGGATGGTGGAGAGAAAGCAACACAATGACATCTGCACTGCTAACGAACATTTCACATAACACATCCTCCCCCTTGCAAGTAAAAGACAACCACTTAAATTTCATTTGATAAGACCCAGTGAAATGCAGGAAACTGCACATAACCCTCTTACCCTGGCTCCCGCCCCCAACACTTTTACATACCTTGTAGGACAAAACTTCTTTGAACTGATGACTGAAAAAAAATAAGAACACATCAGTTAACATCTAAAAAAGCAGAGGATGAAAATAGAAGCAATCATTATATACTTGAATACATTTTAAACAAAATAGCACCATCTGCATCCTACAGAAAAGCAATCAAAAAACCCCCCAGAAACCATTACAGTTGCAGTTCACTAGAAAAGGAAAAGCATTTGTGGTGTTGTCTTTTTTTTTTTTTTTTTTCTGTTGTATTATTTATAAAAATTCTCCCTTTAAGTCATTATAAATGCTAACACAGATTTGCTGGCGTTTCCATGTTGTCACATAAATATATTACATGTACATAATCTCGAGACATGCATAGATTTTGTTTGTATCACAAAAGTAAGGTGCCTCTACAATGGAACTGAATATAGAATATGGACAATATGGGGGCATGGGCAAGCTGTCATGATTTATGATCACATAAAATAAGGAAAAAAAAATAAATCAAACCCTAAAATGTAGCTCAAGCCAGTGTTGATATGATATGAACCAAATCATTTTCTAGGTAGGCTTATGCCTTATGCTGTTAGAATCAAAATTATAGCAAACACAAAACTTTACATTCTTGCAGCATCTACAGCAACAGAAGTTTTTAACACAGTGAGCATTTCCAGCAGGATCTAAAAATGTAACTGGGCAAAAGCTAAGCAGTATCCAGTCAATTTTAAAACAAGCCAACAAAGTAAACCTATATGCCTGCTAACTTTAGAAGGCTTAAAATTTTATTGCTTCTTCCTGAAGAATAGTTGTTTGTTTTACAGTGTCACGAGAAATACGTACCTAAGACAATGTTGTCATTCCTAGAAGAATTAAATCTGATTCATCTTGGATATCCAGAATGCAGAGCTCGGCTTTACAAAAAACAACACAACCCTCTTCCCCCATCTAGTTATGCCTCAGAAAACTGTTAGCCTCTTATCTTCTGCCACTTTATGCTTACCATTTACATTTTATTTATATCAAAGGCATGAAAATTCTTAAGCCTAAAATATATAAGTATCTCCAACATGGCAGATTTAACAAAGACAACTACACAGGTCATTGAAAAAGTATTAAAAATATGAACTGAAATACAGGAAAGGTTGTCTACTTGGGAATAAATCAGAAGAGTTTCACAAGCAGTAAACTGTGGTATAAAGCAGATCCATTTCTTTAAGCTGCTTGCTTACATCTTTCTCCAACATTAAAATGTCAATGCTCTTTCTTATAGTAATTTTCATGAGCTTTCTATTAACTTTGTGATTTCAAGTCAAAAGGTCTGCATTTTACATAGATTCCCACATACTGTATCTACTATGTTGATGGTATAAAGTCTTCTGAACTGAATATATAAACCCAGAAAAAAATAACCCAGGAATTACCAATCTGTCTCTCTTCCAGGATGCATTTGCAAAGAGAAACAGGAGGAAACAGTTACGTTATAACCATGAACCAATTTAGCCTAGACACTTGCAGTGATCTTCAAATTATTAATTCTATACTCTTTTCGTATTTTTTTCTTTTATTATGTTGATATTTTAAAGCTTATCTTGTTAGTTGTAGTTTACCTTCGTGGATATTTAAACTTCACTGTGTTTTGAATGAAGCCATAACAACAAGGGGAGACGACAAAGGCTGCCCTTGCCTTGATGCAGTGTTCGATCACCATGTCTGTTGCCACACCACACGCGTGCAGAGCCACCTAGAGCGTTAAAAGCAAAAAACAAACAAGCCAATCCTTAATAGCAATTTTCTTCATAGAATCCTGTTGCAGTTTTTTTTTTTTGATTGACTGAGTTACTTAAATATATAAGGAAGCTGATATGCCAAAGGACTGGTCCTTAATTCCTCGTTTTTTCATTCCTCTCCATCATATCTATGCTGATAAAAATTTATGGCCTATGCCATTAACAAGGGAACCATCAACACTGAACAAGGGCCATTCACCAACAGCACCGCATTGTGACATCAAATAAATTAAAAATGAAGCTTCAGAAAAATATTAAAATAAAAACTACTGTGGTGATTAGTCAAAAGTTTTTGTCAAGCAAAAAGGACTTAGAAATACAAAGAACTATTTCAAGATTGGATTTCAACTTATCAGCAAGAGAAGTAACAGATATGCCTGTCACATTTAAAGGACAACACTTATGCTTAAGTGTTGATAATCTGATTGTAAGGTATTGGGTAAAAATTTTAGAAAACAAACATTTTGGGGAAGGGAGAGGAACCATAAAATACAACTTGACTTCCTTTTCTTTTTCTCCTAGTTATTTATTTTTCCTTGTGATAGGCTCTCAAACTAAAACTAGAACGCCATTCAATCACAACAGCTACCTGCAAGCATTGATGTGTGTTTGGGCAACACACAGTTTGTGCCCTAATTCTTCAAGCTCTCCTACAGAAAAGCAAGTTATTGCTGTACTCGATATATTGCAGGGAAAGGCAAGCAGCTCTCTCCTGTCAATACCTGTGATACCAAACAGGCCAGGTGAAATGGAGGCATTACTTTCTCTGCCTTATTCCATGTACTCAGTAGCTCAAAGAGTAGGCCTGGTGCATACACATTGCTCTATGTTTTCACTAAACTCAAGACATTTTTGAGGCTCATTCTTACTTTTAGGCAGTGGTATGGATTTGTATAACTGCAACATTTTCTTTGCTTTTTGTCCACTGTAAATTTAGGGAAAAGGTTTAAAACTGCAAAGCTCAGATTTCAGGGTTCAAAGTTGTTTTTCAAGGTACAGGAACTGGAAGATAAAAACTTTGCTCTCATATAGATTAAAACAAAGACTTTTTTGTTTGCAGACTGCTTGATGTAAGCTCAGCTGAGCACACCATTAATCATCAACTGAACTATAACTGCATACAGATGGGAACAAATATTCTTGTCTCAAGCAGAACATTAAAAAATTAATAAGAAAATAATTTCACAATAGAAGTTTTCTCCTTGTATGAACTTAACAACAAAAATAAAACTAGTTTAACATCAGAAATAGATTCTTAATATCACAGCTACTAGATTATCATGGAATATAATTACAGTTACTTCCTGATCTCTAACACAGATGCTTTGAATCAGTATTCAAATGACCTATTTTGCTTCAGGACGCCTCAGCTTCCTGCTTTGCTCTGCTCATGTGCAGTTAACTGGGAGTCAGAATATCACCTGTTGACTGCAATAAGAGTACTCAGCCTAAGTCCTAGAAAACTGAGAAATCATTCTGCCTTTATAAATATAGCTCAAGTATACCTTACACAATTAATATACATTTATACCATTAGTATAACATTCTCTCTGTCATGATAGCTGCTTCTCAGTCTTGCATTGTTGCTCCATCTTAAAATGCTTTTACTGTCATCTAACTACACTTCTGATCACACTTTACTCAGGTTTAATTTGAGCAACAGTAGTCTTCTCTTCCCATCTTCTCCGCAGTATACCCATTAATGAATCACTGATTTTCGAATAACATGATTAAACTAAGAATCTACCCTTCTTTTTTTCAACACAGTCAGGCAGCACTCATATTTTTGTATTTGACTGGAGCAGATGCTTCTTTCCTCACTCATTTAATATACAAGTGATGTGAAATTGCAAGAAATAATAAACACAAAATGATCTTAATACAGATTAATATTATAAGGGTGCTTCTCATAGCATCAAAAATACCTGTCTGTCTATAAGGACATACAGTATTTTCTTTCCTCAGATATTTTAGTTGCTTTAAGAATAAATAACCAGAAAAGTTACAATCACTTACCCCAATGTTAAAAGTCCCCTTAAAATAGTCCAAATTTGCTTGAATGAACCAAATATTGTTTAAACCTAGTTCATCACTTCTGTCTTTAGCACGGATCAGAGACAACTCCTTATTTTCTATGAGCACCACCTAGATTTCATACATAGCAGAAAGTAAGACAAAATAATACTGAGAAATCAAAGTACAACATTAACAAGCACAAAACTTTGTAGTTTAGTTGAGAAAACCTCTAAATTACTTGTGGCAGAGATCTCCAAAATTATTAGTAGGAAACAATAATGGAAGTAATTTAATATTTGTCAATATCAATCAGCTTGCAAATATTTAATCTTTTCCCGTAACTTTTGTTTTCTCAGGAAAACACTGCACACATTTGGGTTTATGCTAAAAATTTGCATGTTTCAAATCCAAGTACTCTGCTGAGACAACTGTGTCTTCATATTTATCCTCCCTACATGCATATATTTTTAAGACGATTGTCAGAGACCAAAAGCTCATACTGTCTGTACTTTTTATTTAGAAATTACCTGACACGATGGCATCACGTGAGCAAGAACAATACCAACATGGCCCTGCAAAAACAAAACCAAACAACAACATCTGAGTCACTTTTCAGTGTCTCCTGTTGTTGACTCATTACACGATAAGCATCCCCTAACCAGTGACAGAACCTCTGAAAGTTTCTAAAATTTCAGCATTTGTACTTTTGCTTTGCTTTGTGGCAGCAACCACCTAGAACTACAAAGCTGAAAGCTAAAATAAATCATGTAAACAAAAATACACCTTACCCCTCCACTGCAAAAATCCACAATCACATCTCCAGGCTTAGCAAGCTTTGTCACTGCTGCTACCAAATTATTCAATTGCTGCTGCTTCCTCAGAGCCCGGTCTGTAGACATCTTTCCTAGCAATGACAGAGAAAATGCTTAAGTAGTGATCAGCAGTTCTGAACATTGATAATTTTAAATGGGTAACAGCAAAGCACTGAAAATTAAATTTATGTCTGAGACCAAAAACTGGTTGGAACACTTGGGTATCTGAATCCCCTTTGAGCTAAACTCTGAGATATTTGGTAGAGCTTTATCTCTATCGTTAGCATATTTAAAAATTTACTTTCCAGTTGTTGCTGTTAATGTATCCTCAGGAACAGAGTTGTATAAACTCAATACACACTAATCAAATCAGCAATAGCCGACAGCAGCAGAAGCAGCAAGAGGTACAACCAGCAAATAGCAAGAAGCAGGGACATAACTCCTAATCAGGACTGGATAAAATCTCAGGTTCAGCTAAAAAGAGAAAAACAGGCTCTCCAAAAGCATGATAAAAGCATGAACAGAGTTTTTTGTTCAAGGGAATTCAGTATGGACTTGCCCTTTTAACCTCAAAGACAGCTGAAGCACACAGAATTTGTTAGTGAGAAATATACTGTGACAATAAAAGGTCAGGTCTGTTATCCAAAATGGGTTTAAAATTTGCCTCATAAGCTTAGGTGGCTTCATTTACACTGTAACTCATTTTTAACAGGATTGGTTCTCACAAGCATTATCTTAAAAAAACAAACAAACAAACAAACA